GCCACAATGCCCGGCTATTTTTTGGTTGCAGCCATCATTGTTGTTTGGCGGGTCCGGACTGGGGATTCGAACCCGCCACCTTAGGTGTACGTGGCTGGCGCCTTAGCCGGTTGAGCTATAGGCGCCAAGCCAGCTTGTTCATTTTTATGAAGAGGAAGATGATGGCAGCTCTTTCTAGTTAAACCATGCAGGTGCACAAAATCTGTATAGATTTTTTGAAGCCAGTATTGTGGTTTACATATTGCAAAGCTGCTTCCAGGCTGTGACCTTTCTCTAAAAGCATGTAACACAGGAGGCCTGCCTCTTTAATCTTATTCTTTTTCTTCTATTTTATTAAAAATGGTTTGTATTATTTTTAGGAGATAATAAATATCAAATTTGGGAAAGACTTAAGATTAAATGTGTGAGGGACAGCTTAGAAAAGATTTCTGCTTTCCAAAGGAGGTAGATTCAGATACACAAAAGTCTCTTTCTCTGCCAAGGATTTTATATGTCAGTGAATAATGTCAATATCTGTATGCATTCTTTGTCATTTTATTTTTTCTGAAAACTTCCAAAAACTTGAAAAGAAAATCAGTCTTATAAAAAAAAAATGGGGTCTCACTCTTGCACAGACTGGTCTTGAACTCCTGACCTCCAGCAATCTGCCCATTTTGGGCTCCCAAAGTGTTAGGATTACAAGTGTTGTTGAGTTTCAGTTTTTCACAATGAAAAGAGGTCCCGATGCAATGAAGAATGAAATCCCATCATTTGCAGCAGGCTGGATGGAACAGGAGGTCATTATGTCAAGTGAAATAAGCCAGGCACAGAAAGATAAATATTGCCAAAGCTGCTATGAGCTTGAGTTAAAAAAATAAAAAGAGGCCGGGTGCGGTGGCTCATGCCAGTAATCCTAGCGCTCTGGGAGGCTGAGACAGGCTAATTGCTTGAGTTCAGGAATTGGAGACCAGCCTGAGCAAGAGTGAGACCCTCTTTCTACTAAAAATAGAAAAACTAGCCAGGTGTTATGACAGGCACATGTAGTCCCAGCTACTTGGGAGGCTGAAGCAAGAGAATTGCTTGAGCCCAGGAGGTTGAGGTTGCTGTGAGCTATGACACCACACACTCTACCCGAAATAAAATTCTGTTTCAAATAAATAAATAAAGACAAATAAAAAAAAAGACAAATATTACACGTTCTCACCCATACATGGAGCTTCATGGAGCTATGAAGACAAGAGAGCAGAACTGGTGATTATCAGAGGCTGGGAACTATAGTGGGTGGGGAAGATGAAAGGAAATTGATTCATGGGATTCATATATTTGTTTTTGTTTTTTTTGCAGTTTTTGGCTGGGGGGGAGTTTGAACCCGCCACCTCTGGCATATGGGGCCGGCTCCCTACTCCTTTGAGCCACAGGTACCACCCTATGTTTGGGTTTGTTTTTTTTTGAGACAGAGTCTTATTATGTTGCCCTCGGTAGAGTGCTATAGCATTACAGTTCACAGCAACCTCAAACTCCTGGGGTTAAGTGATTCTCTTGCCTTCCAAGTAGCAGGGACTACAGGTACCTGCCACAACGCCTGGCTATTTTTTGGTTGCAGTTGTCATTATTGTTTAGCTGGCCCGTGCTGGGTTTGAACCCGCCAGCCTGGGTATATGTGGCTATCGCTATAACCACTGTGCTACAGGCACGAAGCCTATAAATGTATATTTGATAGAAGAAATAAAACCTAGTGTTGGATAGATCAGTAGGGAGACTGATCTATCAGTTAAGAATAATCTATTGCATACTTCAAAATAGCTAGAAAAGAATAATTTAAGTGTTTCCAGCATAAAAAAAAAAGATAAATGTTTAAGACTGGGCACTGTGGCTCACGCCTATAATCCTAGCACTCTGGGAGGCTGAGGCAGGTGAATAGCTTGAGCTCACAAGTTCAAGACCAGCCTGAGCAAAAAGTGAGACCCCCATCTCTACTAAAAATAGAAAAATTGAGGCAAGAGGCAAGAGGATTGCTTGAGCCCAAGAGTTGGAGGGTGCTGTTAGCTATGATGTCATGGCACTCTGCCCAGGGCGACAGGTTGAGACTCTGTCTCAAAAAAAAAAAAAAAAAAAGAGCCAGGAGCAGTGGCTCATGCCTATAATCCTAGCACTCTGGGAAGTTGAGGCAGGTGGATTGCTTGAGCTCACGAGTTTGAACCCAGCCTGAGCAAAAGCAAGACCGACCCACATCTCAACTAAAAATAGAAAAACTGAGGCAAGAAGATCTCTTGAGCTCAAGTCAGAGGTTGCTGTGAGCTGTGATGCCACAGTACTCTACCCAGCGCAACAGCTTAAGACTCTGTCTCAAAATAAAATGTTTAAGGTGGTGGCTATTACAATTACCCTAATTTGATCATTCCACATTATATATCTGAATATTGCACATTACCCCTGAAGATGCATATCTATTATATAATCAATTTTTAAACGATCAGGATGATAAATTTTATGTTATGTGTGTTTTGCCACAATATAAAATATAAAAATGGAAAAGCTTGGAATTCAGTGAGCATC